GACCAGCCCTCCTCGTGGTGCCTGGACACGGCTCCCACCACGGTGAAAGCTGCGACGGAGGAGGATGAGGACAAGCTCGTTGCCGCCGTGCACGCGGAGGTAAAGTGCCTTGGCGCTGAAGTGAAATTGAAAATGAAGAAGAGCAGCGGGGAGGATTGGATGTCGTGCACGTCTGGGGCGGAGGTTCCGTGGGAGATTCCGCCCTTCGACGCCGACAAAGTGAAGTGCCCCGAGTACGATGAGGTGTGCACGATATCCGCCATTGGCGGCAGCGTCCGCACGGGGTTTGAATGGGACGGCAAGGACAAGGTGTGGAAGAGAACGGCCCCTGTGGAAGAGCCGGAGCCAGCCCCAGAGTCAGCGCCGCCAGTGGCCGGCCCTGCTGAGGTTGGGCCCGCGATCGCGCTGCCTCCCGAAGAAAACAGCGCCGGTGGTGGAGGCGGCACCGGCGGCAGCAGCGAGCCGGGCAGCGGTGTGCCGTCGACGGGGCAGGGGCTCCCCGCAGCGGACCCGGAGGGCGGGCAGGAGCCTGTGCCCGGGGAGGGCGGGGTTGCGGCGCCGGGGGCAAAGGACAGCGAGGGCGTGCCTCCCGAGAGCAGCCACGGCGGCGGCGGCGGCGGAGGTGTGACTCCTCCGGCGGGGACACTGCCAGCGGGCGGGGACGCAGCCGACAGGGCCGGTGACGGTGCTGCCACCCCCGCAGGGCCCAACGGCACTGGCGCGGCAGGCAAGAGCGACACCCCGCCTCCGGCCCACGGCGATGGCGCTGTGGCCGCTGCCGGCCTCTCTCTGCTTTTGCTTCTTGCCGCCGCAGCAGCTGCAGCAGCGCTTTGTTGAGCAGCGGCGGGGATGAGGTTGCACGGCGTGGCGGTTCCCCTCGCCCCCTGCGCGGCCCGTGCTCAGCAGGGCATGCGCGGGAAAAGGGCCCCACTTCGATTTATATCCTTCTATACGCGAATATACGACTGTGCTGTATACACTCCGTTTCTTTTTTGTTTTGTTTTTCCTTTGGTGTCAAGCACATCTTCTATGCACTCCACCCCACTTTGCTTTGCTTGCTTATATTGGAGGTCCTATACAATTCCGTGTTTTTTTCTCGGTTTACGAATACCAATCGTTTTTGTTTTAAATATTTCCAACGAACGCTCTGCGGTGGTCGTGTGCGAGGGACCCCGCTTGCATTCCGGGCTTCCCCATTTATTTTGCCTCGGCTTTGCGCACTGCCCCTTCCCTTCTCTTGTGGGTGCGTGTTTTGGGGTTGACGGGAGCTGAGGTGTGTGGAGGGGCAAAGTGCCGGTGGACGGCGGAAGTGCTGCTGTGCGGTTTGCTTGCCGGTGCGGCGGCATCGTGTGGCGCTCTTTGCCTCCCTCCCGCTTTGGTTGCGGCCACGGCGCGGGGTGGGCGCACGCTGCGTGTTGGGTCGGACGCTGGTGGGCGGGATGCCGTGCGGCGCGCCTTTTCTCAGGCCTCCCGCGTGCCGTCGTGCGCGGCTCTCGGGACCCCGTTGCGGAGGCCCACCGCGGGGTTTGCGCCGCAGCGGCGTGCGCCCGCGGCAGCGTGTGCCTCGTGCCGCTTACACCGCGTTTGATTGTTTTGTTTTGTTTTGCCGTTTGCTTCTCTTTTTTCCCCTTCTCTCTTTTTCCTCCTCCCGCGGAGAGGGCCTGTGCCGCCACCACCACCACCACCGCGGCTGCCGCTCGAAGGGAGGCCCCAAATGCACTTTTTTCGAGCGATGCGCCGGCCACGCCGCACCGCGCCGCTCCTTCCACTGGCGCTGCTGCTGCTGCTGCTGCTGTGCGTCGCCGCTGGGTGCCTCGCCGAGGCTCCCGCCAAAGTTGCGCAGGAGGGAGATGCATCGCAGGACGGGGTCACAAGTGGCACTCCAAAAGACCCAAGCAGTGAAGATAATCAGCTGAGTGCTGGCAGCGGCGCGGGGACGGAGAAGGGGCCGGAAGAGGCAGGCACCGCTAAGGCACCGGAAAGCCCAGATCTCAGCGGGACCGATGGGCAGGAGCCGGCACTGCCGCCAGCGCCGGCGCCACAAGCAGACAACAAGGCAGTGCTGCCGACAGCAGGTGCAGAATCAGAGGAAACCAGACGAGGTGTGGACGCAGGCAGCCTTTCAACGAAGGCAAAAGACGCCGTTGAGGGAAAAGGCCCAGGTCAAGAAAACAGCCAAGGAGGTCAAGTTCAAGTGGCCAAGGAAGAAGAACAGCATGATCGACAAGAAGGCGAGGAAGAACCAGAAGAGGATGAGGAAGACGCAGGAGAGGAGGAGGAGGTAATCCCATCAACAACGCCAGCAGTCGCAGAAGAAGGAGGAATTCCCGAGGCCACGCCTCTTCCGTCTCCCTCCGTCGGCGTCCCCGCGGCTGGAGATCCGACTGCACAGACCAGTGGGGGCGGTGCTGGCACAGGCAGCATGCAACCCGATGTTGCTGGTGCACCGAAAGGCAGTGCGGGGGAAGCAGCGGCGCAGGCCACCGCCAACAACACAAATCGGAACACCGCCACTGCGACTGACAGTAAACAGGGGAGTGGAGTTGCTGGGGTTTCTCCCACGCCCGGCGATTCTGCGCGCGTGAGGGAGCCGCAGGGGACAAGGGCGGAGAGTGCGCCACCGCGACCAGCAGGCGAGCCCCAAACGCCCCAGAGGCGCCACGGGCAACGAAAGCACCGCCGGAAGCCAAAGGCAACGCGAGCGCAACCGAAACTCTGCAAACACATGGGGAGCCGCAGTTGCCGCAGGGAGTGCGCCGGCCGACGACAGTGCGGCGC